GGTTAGGATGAAGCATTCTTGTAACAGTAAGGACCTCATGCAGCCAAACAAAGGGGATGTGCTGATTCAGACTCGAAGTCTCACAGACAGAATCCCGTTCTCACAGCCACCAAAGCCCAGCCCGCCCTCAGCACAGGGGGAACAACAGGGGACCTAGATGCCACCAAGATCGTCTTACTCTTGTGTGAAATTTCCCAACTCTCCTCGGGGGTTTTGTAATAGAGAAGAACAGGTCTGATTCTATGTTGGATCTGTTCCTTTAGTTTCATTAACCCTGTGCCCTGCTTTCTAGGCTTAGCCTTGCCATCTCTGCACCTTTTGTGAAACAATGTTGCCTTTAGCCTGAAATCTATAGGAGAGCCTATTCTCAGGGCTCTGACCTTTAAGGATATTAACACTTTTACACTCCTACAAAGTTAACAAGTTGCAGAATAGAAAATAACCTTTGTTTTCTTGGAGGTTTACAGGGACACCAGGACCTGACCAGGTGGACAGCTACAAGAACAAAGAATTCCTGCAGCAAGAAGTTTGCAACAACCAACCACACCCCCTCCCTTGTTTTTTTGTAGAAAAAGAGCCTATATTCTGACTGGAGCAGGATGGTTCTCCAAAATATCAGTCTGCCATCCTCTCGGTCGGCCGGCTTTCCGAGTAAAGTCACTATTCCTTGCCCCCACACCTCATCTCTGGATTTACTGGCCTGTCCTGCAGCGAGCAGAGTGAGCTAGAACTTTGGTAACAATTAAGGAGTTTAAAGTATTAAATCCAACATTTTAGTCCCGAAGGGGTCAGCTGTCTGGAAACTGCAACGTAATGTTTCACACCAAAGCTCTCTCATTTCCCATCGTAGTCTCCAAGCAGCCTGTTCATGTTAACTGCCCAAATTCAGTTGTAAGCTGCTCCCTCACTCTTTGAAGGGCCCACATTCTGTGACTGGCAGGTGAAATGAGCGACAGAGAGGGTCAGAGGATGACCACAGTTCCCACAGAGCAGGACAGACCTGGAAACACACGTGCCGTTACCTAAGGCGCTCAGCTGTGCGCAGGCCACCAGAGACGCTGCCAGGCGGGGGACGGTGCTTCTGTTTGAGGCAAGGTTGAGTCAAAAATCCAAGAGACACGTCACCAAGTCCACTGATGGACAGGAGAGGATGCAGTGATTGAAAAGGAGGTCTTTAGGTCCTAAAGAAAGGGCATTATGCTTTACACCAAAAATTGACACAACATTGTAAACTACACATCAATAAAAATATACATACACACACACAAAAAAAGAGAAAAAAACACAATAAACATCCCCCCAGTGGACCAGGTGAGGGCTCCCTGATAAGGAGACGCACTCAGTCCAACCAACAAGGGGTGGAGCGTGGTCAGAGAGGGGTACAGGGGCCTGTCACTGGCTAGGTCACATAGGTACATTCTGTACACTGACATTTTAAAGTCCAATGGCTTAAGAACGGCAACCAGCAAGAGCAGGGGAACACTGGGTGGGGAGGGGGGCTGACACCCTGACAGCTGGACAGCGGAGGTGGCTCACTGCAGCTCTGACCCTCGCCGTGGTGGGGCCCTGGGCAGTGCTGGCTCCCCACACAACAGGAGAAGGCGGCCCGCAAGGCACTCAGTGGAAAT